TCAGCACAACTCATTTTATTTTTCTCAGGGGTGGCAATATCGCGGACGGGAAATGGAAGGCAAGGCGAAAAGACCCCCATTTGACTGGGTGAAAGGATTTAAAATCAGCTCCCGGGTGGCAAGGCTGTCAGCCCAGCCTTTGTGAGAGCTGAGGAGACGGGGCTGAACGCCGGTGAGCAAAAGGACCGAGTCCCCCTCTCCCCCCACTAAGTTTGGTCTGGAAGGAACCCCGCCGCCGGGAGGGCAGCTCTCCGGAGGGCAGACGTTTCGCCCTGGGCCACCGCTCCCAGCGCTCCGCTCTCCCCGCACCGGCTTGTCAGGTACCCCGGCCGGCTGGTGGCTGAGCAGCACTTGGGATTTAGCATCTCGGGAACCTTCTCTATGTCTGAGAAGACCCCCAGTGCGAGACCCCCAGTGCGAGGATCGTTTCTCTCCCTAAACCCCTAAGTTCCGTTCACCTAGGGCTTTTTTTTTTCCTTTAACCTGGAAGATGCAAGTTTGGAAAAACAAGCAGTAATTTAATTGCCTGGGGTGAGAGACTGCTGAAAAATAGGTTAGCGCAAAATGTCGCTCATTATTCTCAAAGGCAAAGACTGTCACAGGCACTCGTGGTCCCTCTGAACCTGAAGCTGCTTTCTAAGGTTATTTATACAGCACGGGAGCTGGATGGAGAAGACCTCTCAGGTCATCTGCTACACCACCTTGCCAATGAATTCCCTGCAGTTTCGAATAAACTGCAATTTCTGGCACTTTTGGATCTGTTCTCGGATCCGGTGTGAAAACAAAAGCGACCCCATTCACAGCCACACACACATACATGCAGCCAGCAGCTAATGCCACTCGGGTCTTTGAAGAAATCTCCCAAGTTGTCCAGTGTCTCCACAGCTTATATTTCAGGGTGTTCCCGGGTGGAGGAGAGAAGCCTCCCCTGAGTGTTTCACACCCCGGCCTACGGCCCTGGCAAACCCAATTTAATACAGCGATTACCTGAATATTAAGAAAATTACAGCGAAGGTACAGTTAACCCAGTGACTTTTAAGTGTCAAGTAACTATTTAGTAATTGCACTTGTAAATATGTTTGTGCTGGGCTGGTTCGTGCTTAAAAATGCAAAAGTGCACTTGCTACCCGGGAATAACTAAATATCTTTGTCTAAAGTGGCAGCATAAATAGCCGGTCGCTTTGTGACTGTGCTTGATATTAGTACATAAGGATCATTTTGCTTCAATTGGGAGGCTCTCATTCACTAGGCAAGAAACCGTTTAGGAGAAAGTAGGTTCCCGTATGAGAGTTAACATCCTTCAAGTGTAAGCCTCAGCCTTGATTACACTTTAGAGCTCTGCAAGAGGTGAGCTTTTCCACACAAATATAATCGGGGGAACTTTCCTTCAATCAGGCCTCCAGCTCTCCTACATCATCTCAGCTGCCTCTCTCGGCACCAGCTCCTTCAAGGTTGAATTCCCCGAAGTGGGCTTGTTGTGAGTCTGCTGGGTCACCAAAGGCAGGGAAGGGTGACTTTGGGCTAGAAAGGCGGCTGCTTTTACCTCTTTTCTTTCCAGATCTTTAGATCTTGTCTTTCCAGATCCCTGGAACATTTCTCCCCAGCCCCCTTTCTGCGCGTGTTTTTCAGTACGGCCTTTGATTTTGTTCCTACAGAGACACTCGACCTTGCCTTGGTGGTTTGAGTTTCCCCCCCCCCCCCCGGATTTCTCAGGCACATCAGCTCCCTGCCTGTTTTATTGCCTTAAAAAGGAAGGGGTGGATGGAGGAGAAAAAATTAAATACCATAGGATC